TCTTTCTTTCTTTCTTTCTTTCTTTCTTTCTTTCTTTCTTTCTTTCTCTTTCTTTCTTTCTTTCTTTCTTTTTCTTTCTTTCTTTTTTTTTTAAGATTTTTATTTATTTATTTGACAGAGAGAGAGAGGGCACGATCAGGGGGAGAGGCAGAGGGAGAGGGAGAAGCAGGCTCCCCACTGAGCAGGGAGTTCAATGTGGGGCTCGATCCCAGGACCCTGGGATTATGACCTGAGCCGAAGGCGGACGCTTAACCGACTGAGCCACCCAGGCTCCCCTAACTGAATCTTTTCTGGTTGACACATAAAGGAATATGACTTGGATCTGTCTAAGGAAGACCTCTGGCTTTTGTTTTGTTTTTTTCTTTTCTTTTTTTCTGTTTGTTGTTGAGGTAATTGGACCCTAATGGTCTGGTAATAGAGATAAATAAAATAAATCCATCCACTGAATTATGGAACAAGAAAGTGTGATAAAATGCTGTATCTTCCCCCCATCATCTCTAGAGGGGTGACTTCAGGGTAAAGGGGAGAGTTGGGGGTTGGCCGAGGATGTGGCAGATGAGGCAGGGTGAGCTGTAGAAAAATGTGGACTGTCAGTCACCCACTGCAGAGTGATGATGAGCCAGTAACTGTTGTGTTGTTGATATTTGTGTTCTAATCAAAGCATCTAGATCACTTATTTAACAGATGGCTGCGGACTTCATTAGGGGCAGTTAGCATATCAAAAATACCCTGCTGGTTCCCAGGACTGGTTGTTGCTTTGTGTCTGCTAAGAGGCTGCTTTAAGGACTGCAGGCTGGGGAAATAGGGAAGTACTTAGGCTGGAAAGAGAAATTCAGATAGAGGGCCCATCTCTTAATTTTCTGAACCTCGATGGATTTCCTGACTGTAATATTCACAACAGCTGCAGAACGAGAGGAAACCATGTGCCTTGTTTCTGATTAGCTTTCTGTCCTCGAGGCTGATTGCTCGTCCTGATGGCGAATGATAGGTGTCATCTGGCCTTCGATGCGGCAGAGACACATCTGTGCTCACCCCCTCTTCAGGTGTTCATGCGGGCCCTCTTCCACTACAACCCGACGGAGGACCGGGCCATCCCCTGCCAGGAGGCGGGCCTGCCCTTCCAGCGCAGGCAGGTCCTGGAGGTGGTGAGCCAGGACGATCCCACGTGGTGGCAGGCCAAGCGAGTAGGGGACACCAACCTTCGAGCTGGCCTCATCCCCTCCAAGCGGTTCCAGGAAAGGTGGGTCTGGGCTGTGCTGTCAGGGGGTGGCTCTGGAGTGGCTTAGAGGTGTGGGTACACAGCGGAGCCCCGGCCGGAGGGGCGCGCGGTGTGTCGTTGCGGAGGGAAGTACCCATCGCCCTTGTGTTCGGTCTTCTCGCGCTCTAACCAGCGGTGATGGCCGTTTGAGATTTAAATACATGCACAGAAATCTATGTTGTCACTAAATGCATGTGTGTTGTATAATACCTACTTAAAGAAAGTTAAAAAATAAAATATAAAAATATAGACGAGGAGGACGAGGGAAAGCTAATTACTCCAAGCCTCGCCACTATCTGAGATGGCATGTTGGATGTCCTTCCCGTGCTTCTTACGGGAGAGACACAGAGAGAATTGGAAGTCGTGCTTTTGGGGTCTGTGTCCCTTAACATGGCAACTTCAGCATTTCCCATGTTATTACCTAGTCTTTAGTGTGTGATTTTTAATAGCTATATAATATTTCATCAGAAAGGAGACCATGCCCTTCTTTCCACTGCCCCCTTCCAACCTAAGCTAGAGCCAGTGGGCCTCCGGCCCAGCACAGCTTTCGCCATGGCCCTCAGCGATGCTGACGTGCAAAAGCAGATTAAGCATATGATGGCTTTTATTGAACAAGAAGCCAATGGGAAAGCAGAGGAAATGGATGCGAAGGCAGAGGAAGAGTTCAATATTGAGAAATGTCGTCTTGTGCAAACCCAAAGACTGAAGATTATGGAATACTTCGAGAAGAAAGAAAAGCAGATTGAGCAGCAGAAGAAAATTCAGATGTCTAATTTGATGAATCAAGCAAGGCTCACAGTCCTCAGAGCAAGAGATGACCTTATTACAGACCTATTAAATGAAGCAAAACAGAGACTCAGCAAAGCGGGAAAAGATACAACCAGGTACCAAATGCTGCTGGATGGGCTGGTCCTCGAGGGTTTGTACAAATTGTTGGAGCCCCGAATGATTGTTCGTTGCAGGAAGCAGGATTTCCCTCTGGTAAAGGCTGCAGTGCAAAAAGCGATTCCTAGGTACAAAATTGCCACCAAAAAAGATGTTGATGTCCAAATTGATCAGAAGGCCTAGCTTCCTGAGGAAATAGCTGGTGGAATTGAGATCTATAATGGGGATTGTAAAATAAAAGTTTCCAATACCCTAGAAAGCCGGCTGGATGTCATAGCCCAGATGATGCCAGAAGTACAGGGAGCCTTCTTTGGTGCAAATGGCAACAGGAAGTTTTTGGACTAAACCTTTGGGCGAGGTGAAGTTCATCCACTGCTCTCCTGCTGTCATGCGGAACTCTCTGATATTTGAAAAAACAAGATTATCTGTGTGGCTTCCTCTTCGCTGTTCTAATATTCTGTATTCATCAGTGGATCCTCTCTGTAGCTAATGCCCTTGGCCTAATTGTTAAAATGAGAGAAAGTTTCACTTACTATGATCAGGAAACCTCCTTCTTAGCTTATCTGAAAGCACAACTTTCATCTGCTTCTGTAGCATGAAGGTGAGGATATCAGATGGTGGTTAGCGGAGCTTCCCCAAGTCTCTGCTCTTCCTCTCGTCTTCTGCTGTCAGTTCTCGAGTCTAGAGGGTGATGTGTGTGGTGTTCTCTGACATTCAGTCTCTGCTCTTTAGGCTTCAAATGCATGGGGGGCATGCATTCCTACCAGCAATAGTAGCTTCACCGTTCACCTGTTTGGGCCTAGAAGTGTTCCTCATCTGTAAATGTGATTTAAAATCTAAGCCATGAATAGGTCTTATTTATTAAAACAAAAGGTTTACATGGGAAAAAAAAAAAAAAGGAGACCATGTACTCATGGGCAGCGAGTCTGGGTTCTGCCCCCCCACCCCCCGGCCCAGGAACTGACAGTGTAGCAGGAAAGTCACAGGTGGTTCAGACGAACACTTTCTAGAAATGTGATGGGTTTGGGGGAGGAGGACAGCGGGCTCTGCGAGGTCAGATCCTGGGAGGGTTGCCCCTCACCTGGGTGTGCTCCGAGCGTCTCTGAGTGAGTTCACTCCTTCCCTGTGGCTGTACCTTGAAGTTGTCCACACCGTCTGGCTGCCACACGACCGCACTAATCACCTTCCACGTGAGACTGTGCCTCATATTTCAAATGATTTCCTTAGGATAGATTTCCAAAAGTGTAAATGACCGCATCGCCTCTCACCTGTGCCATCCAGGCCTTGGTTTCCCTGAATTTTCCAGAAGGTTCTCTCTGACTGGTTTTGTGGCGGAGCTCATGGGCCTGCCTATCTCCTTGTGTCCCCGCAGGCGACTAAGCTACAGGAGAGCCACCGGCACCCTGCCGAGCCCCCAGAGCCTCAGGAAGCCCCCCTGTGAGTAGATGGGCAGGGAAGCCCTTCAGCGAGGGGCCGGGGCTAGGACTCAGGGGCTTCGTGCCCCGAAGAAGCAAGCGCTGGACTGGAGAGGGCACCAAGGGTCCCGTCTGAGCTGGGGGGCCTCCAGAAGAAGGAGGGGATGGGGAGAGGGGTGAGGAGGGAAATGGGGGTAGGTCGGGGAGGGGGGAGCTGTTCTCTGGAGAGGAGCTACTGTATTTGGGACCCATAGATGATACCGGGGGGGGGGCCATGTGAAACACCTCTTCCAAAATTGTGTGCAAACGTGTGTGTGTGTGTGCGCGCGTCTGGGAGAGTGTCCCCTACCAAGGGGCCCTCTGATCCTGATAGTTTCAGAACCACCGATGCTGGACGAGAGTGGAGAAGGCTGCACGTGACCCTGTGTTAGCAGTCAAATTTGGCAAATAAAAATAAAGGATGCCCAGTTAAATTTGAATTTCAGATCAATAATGAATGGGTTTCTAGTGTAAGTATAGCTCATGCAGTATTTGGGACATACTTATACTAGGGACTTACTTGTTGTGTATCTGAAATGCAGATATAACTGGGCGTCCTCTATTTTATCTGGCACCCCTACCCTGTGCAGCCCCTGCCGTCAGAAGACACTCTCACCTGCCACCTTGCCTTTTAATCATCACTCCACGGAGTGGAGTCAGGACATCCTCTTTTCCAACGTGGGAAAATGGAGGGTCATGAGGTCAAGGGAGCGGGGCTGGGGTCAGGCTTTCAGAGGGCGTGTGCCCATGGCCTCCTGGTTAGAGCTCTGTATAGCGATGAAGCTGCCCTGTGATATGGCTTCTCTGGCTCAGGGGGGCTCGGAACCAAGTAAGGGGCCCAGAGGGGTGTCCGGTGACCGGAGTGCAGCGGCTGGCAGCCCTGCTCTGCACCGCTCCACCGTCTGGCACCCGCCTTTGCCCAGGCCCGTCTGAAACCCCGGAAGAGAGAGAGCAGGTCCGGCCCCACTGCAGGCATCCTGGGGTGAGCTGCTCCCTGGCTCGGGGCCACTGCCCACGGCCACTCTTCCAGACTTGCTCTCAAGTCAGAAGGGCTGCTGAGTAAATTGGCTTTGGGGCTGCTCACGCCGGTGCTGAGCTGTTTTGCTCCGGGCCGCTCATGAGACACACACAGGAAGACTAATTAGAGCTAGGCTCGGTTTAATAATGCACCGCAGCTCAGATCACGGGTTTGTTGGAGGAAAGAGAGAGGGGACAGATGGAGGGCTCCTTACGCACACGAGGCCACGGCTGCCTCTCAGCCACAGGGCCTCCTGGTTCCCCTCCACTAACGCTCTTCCATCTGTCTTTTGTGCAAACCGCAGATGATCAGCCTTGTGACAAAGGTAGGCTGGTATTTATCCCCTGTGTACCTGGACAAGAATGTAGACTGTCTGGAGCTAGAGGGCTTTCTTTTCCTCCCCCTGTGCCCTGAGGTGTGAAGAGCCGCTGGGGATAGAGCGCCTCCCTGCCCACCGGACACATAGTGCCCCACCTTCCCTGGACTCTGGCTGGGCTAACTGTGCCACCAGCTGGGTGGGAGGCAGGAGACGGGAAGGTGGGGCGGGCGAGTGAATCTCCCCTCCTTCTACTGTTGGAGATCCTAACCCAGAGGGGCCTGCTGGCCCAGAACCCCTGCCACGGCCTGTAAAGTCTGTTTGGGGCCTAAGCATGGAGAATTGAGTGAAACAGAAGGACTCGGTTTCCTGGGGAGCCAGGACATGGCATCTCTCCCGAGCCCCCGTGAGACATCATTCCAGTGGGCTCCTCCTCGCCACCCAGGAGCCGGGTCCCTTTGGGTCAGAGTATGTGTCCAGCATGGCTCACTGGCTGCCCTCTCTCTGTTTGGTTCCCAGAGACCTGTGACTGTGAGGGGTACTTCAAAGGGCACTATGTGGGTGAGTATCGGGCCTCGCCCCCCAGCACCCCCTGCCCTGCCCACACACAGCCAACTGTGGGCTCTTGGACCAGGGGAAGACAAGGGCAGAGTGACCTGAGCCCCAGCAACGCTTCAAGAGCAGCCGAGCCTGGGGGACCCATATTCCCCTTCATCTCTGTCAGCCAGGGGAGGGACTGACTTGCCCAGGCTTTGGGGTCCCCCCCAACTTCCACCCAGCCCCGGGGAGCAGAGCCCTGGCAGGGAAGGAATGCGGACCGCTCCATTAACACCGATCTGTTATCATCACGGTCTCGGCCATGGTCCAGTCCATGTGTGTGCCGCCACCACACAGTGACGGAGCCTTTTACCAGCCTCCAAAGGTCCTTTGCTGCTTTTATTTTGCTTAGTCTTTTCAAAGGCCTTAGAGACCGGCAGAGATTTTTTTACCTTTCATCTGGAAGTAATTTCAAACTTACCGAAAAGGTGCAAGAATCGTACCAAGAACTCAGATTCACCAGATGACACTTTGCCGTATTTGCTTTGTCATCCCTTGTCTCACACATACACAGTTTCTTCCTGAGTCCTGTGACTCGGTTGTAGACATCACATCCCTTTACCCCTAAATGCCTCAGTATGTATCCCTTAAGGACGGGGACATTCTCTTACAGAACCCAGGGGAATTACTGAAATTCTGGGAGTTTTAACATGTATACAGTTCTCTCATCTAATACACTGTTCATTTTAAAATTTGGCCAGGTTGCCCCAGTAATGTCCTGTAGAGCATTTTCCCTGATCCAGGATCCAACCCAGGACCACACATTGCACTTGTAGATTTGTATTCCCATTTCATCATAGATAAGGAAATGGAGGCTCAGAGAGGTGATGATTCACCCAAGTCGGCCATGTGCTAAATAAAACAGTGACCGGGGCACCTGGGTGGCTCAGTCAGTTGATCGTCCAACTCTTGGTTTCGGCTCAGGTCACGATCTCAGGGTCGTGGGATCGAGCCCCCGGCCAGGCTCTGCGTTCAGCGTGGAGTCTGCTTAAGACTCTCTCTTCCCCTGCTCCTCCCCCTGTGCTCTCTAAAAGTAAACATCTTTAAATAAAACAGTGACCTTGAACCCTATTTTTGGAGGCCAGATGGTCACCTTTTCTTCACTGTGCTGTGCATCCTGATCAGCCCCTTCCTGTAGCAGGAGGTAGTTGGGAGAGGTTCAGTGGGACTCAGACCCCCTTCTAGGTCTGGCCAGGTAGAGAAAGTCTTTCCTGGGAGATTCTGGGACAAATGCCACAGTTCTCCCTGCCCTTCCCACAAAGCTGGTCTTCGGAGAAGCTTCCGGCTGGGCCGAAGAGAAAGACCGGGAAGCCCCCAGGAAGGAAAGGGGTCTGCAGGAGCCGAGGCTCCAGAGCTGCTGACCTATGAGGAGGTAACCAGGTACCAGCACCAGCCTGGTGAACGGCCCCGCCTGGTGGTTCTGATTGGTAGGTGAGGTCCCGCATTTCCAGGGAGTGGGCTGGCTTCCTCCTGGACTCCTTCCTCCAGGAGGGAGCTCAACAGGGACCCTGGTCAGCCTTCCTTTTGTTTCCCAGGATCCCTGGGAGCCCGGCTGCATGAACTGAAGCAGAAGGTGGTGGCAGAGAACCCACAGCACTTTGGCGTTGCCGTTCCACGTAAGAAGGCCCACACGGGGGTTTGTGTGTGCATGTGTGAGCATGAATAATAGTCCATAGGGACTTGACTTCCCATATCCATCTAATCCTTACTTTGGGTCTGAGGGACCAATGGGCACTGCCTGCTATGGGCAGATCATGGGACCTAGGCATGATAAGAAACCCACTTTCAGTGGTCCACTAGGACCCTCTGAGGCAGAAGCTAGAGGACCACTTGCCCCGTTCCTTCCTGGGGTGGCAGATGAGTCTAAAGCACATTGCAGGCAAAGTAGCAACCTCAGGATGACACCAAGGGGCTATCAGCACCAAGGGGGCATTCCAGCTTCCTCTTCACAGTGACTCTGACTCCAACGGCCCCCGCTCTCTGCTTGGGTAAGAGAGCAGGGCAGAGAAGGCGGGAGCCTGGTGAGTTATGATACTGCTCGGGCACTCCCTTGTAGCTGGCTTCCAGCCCATCAGAGTGGCTGGGCACCCTCCAAGGTGCTCACAGCCCTGCCAGTTCCTGAGGCTAGGAGCAGCTGTGGATACTGAGGACCAAGGAGGCAGGAGGCCCTGGTTCTGGATGTGATGCAGAAGAGGGGCATGAAGGGTCTAGGAGCTTTTATGTGCAGTAGCTTGGGCGGCCCTCCCAGTACCCTTGAGGAGAAGGATGATCACCATCCTGTACAGCAGAGGAAGACACTGGGGCTCAGGAAGGTTAAGTAACTCGCCCAGTGTCACACAGTTGGTAAGTCGTGGGGCCAAGATTCAAACCCAGGCAGCCTGCCGAGTCACATCCTTAATGAGGCCACACGAAGGGCCTTGCCCCTGCCGCCTACCGCTCCTGTCCTTGGCTGTCCCTTCCCTTTCTGGGACCCTCCGTTCTTCTGGCCTCAGAAGGATGCAGTGTGGGCACTCGGGGTCACCGAAAGGGAAGGCTGTGGTGGCAGTAATTAGACTTTTCCAGAATGTTCTAAGGGCAGCTACCAATCCTTTCTTTTGCCAGACGCCTCTCCCCTGGACCTCGGGGTCCATAACCCAGGGTGTGGGTTGTCAGAATTGTCTTTCGGAGCCCTACCTGAAGTGGCAGGGATTGGAGGGAGGAGCAGCAGGCTTCAGGAAGCCATTCTAGTGGCATACCTCTGATGGACCTGGGAGGTAGGCTTCCGAGGGCCACTGCCTTCCAGGGCGGACTGAAACAGGACATGTGGAAGCTGCTCTCACATGGGTCCTTCAGAAATGCCCAGATCCGTCCCCCAAGACAGGGGTGCATGGATGGCCAGGCCTACCTGCTTCAGGCACCCCACAGATAGGTGACTTCCCCCCCCTTTGCTCTTAGGAGCTGAAAGAGTCAAGGCAGACTTCCCGAGTCTTCCTACTTCAGAGAGGTGGTGACTTTTATCCTGGGCTTTGAAGCATAAATAGGAGTTTTCCAGGCAGAGAAGAAAGGAATAGATCTCTACACAGAGGGAACGGTTTATGGAAAGGGATGGAGGTGTGACCCAGGGTAGCAGCATTAGGGACTGGGGAGGCTAGTGGGGATGATGTGGGAGGAGACACCCATCAAAAGTCTTTAGGATGTTGTCGGTGGTGAATAAAGTTTTTAAACAAGCGAATGACACGGTCAGAAAAGTGACCCTAGCAGCTCTGCCCAAGATGGGACAGGGATGCCACATACAGAGCACAGAGCATCCCTGTGTGGTCCCCAAGGGCATGAAAATACTGTCCTTCAAGACCCGCATCTTTTCTTTCGGAATGCTCTGGAAAAGAGCCGTGTGTTCCTTCATGCGTGCTCTCCTGTGAAGGACCTGATTTTCCCCTGAAGTGTGCACCTCAGTTCTATCACAGAAATCCGTGGAGAAACGCTGTATGGTTTGTAGTTATTTATGTGAGAGCCAGCTTTGCTGAAACCATCTAGTCCATCACGGGACTGTCTGTTTTCTTGTCTCTTTTCTCAAAATGAGAAATAACCGAATAAGGAATTGAAAGCCTACAGCAGGGCCGTCTGTATCTGGGGCCCCCTGGCTCGCAGAAAAGACACACCCAGCCCATGGCGGCTCACAGCCGCCACTCAACTCCCGGTACCACCGCCACTGAGGAGGAAATCAACGGTTAGGACTAGGGATCCCTTTAGCGATTTTTTACAAGCCACACCACCTCAGCCAGGCTGTCTGGCGGGGCCCCTAAGGGCAAACGCTTGGCATGGGACGGAGCTCACACCCTGGCTTGGGACTTGACCTCCCTGCACCTCAGTTTTCCTCCCCTGCAAAGGGGGAGGCCTCCTTTCCCACATCGAGGAGGGTGCCTGCCCCTCAGGGACACTGAGGAATGGGGAGCGGTGGGTTCATCCACTGAGCAGCGATGAGCTCCGGAGGGGAAGGAGGGCCCAGGCTCGCTGTTGTTCTTGCGCACTGTGAGGGGACATCTCTTTGCCCAGTTTCCCATTTCCTTTCTTTCAAAGATACCACCAGACCTCGAAAGAGCCATGAGAAGGAGGGGGTGGAATATCACTTCGTCTCTAAGCAAGCATTCGAGGCCGACTTACATCACAACAAGTACGTGGCCTGGCGGCCCAGCTGGCCCTTGGTGCAGCCGTCTGGTGTTCCCCCTGACCTTGTGGGAGGGCCTTCGGGAAGGATGGGGGACGCGGAAGAGGAGTTATGGTGGAAAGTCTATCTATCTTGCCCCGCTAATTTAGGCAAACTCAGGAACTAAAGGCCCATTCCCTGTTGGTGGTGGTTTAGGTTCCTGGAGCATGGTGAATATAAGGAAAATCTCTACGGAACCAGCCTGGACGCCATTCAGGAGGTGATGGCCAAAAACAAAGTGTGTTTGGTGGACGTGGAGCCGGACGTGAGTTTCTGAGCCAGTTGGGCGTTTTCTGTTGGCAGAATATATAAATGAGGGGAGGGACGCCTGGGGGGCTCAGTCGGTTGAGTGTCTGACTCTTGATTTCAGCTCAGATAATGATCTCAGGGGCGTGGGATTGAGCCCCGCATCTGGCTCTGTGCTCAGCAGGGAGTCTGCTTGAGATTCTCTCCCTCTGCTCTCTCTCTCAAAATAAAAAAAAAAATGATAAAAAAAATAATAATAAATGAGGAGACTGTATATTTTACAAAACATTTGACCCCAGTCTAAGGCTTTTTTAGTCCAGAGGACTGGATGTTAAAATTTCCTTAGGTCTGCCTTTGAGAATCTAAGGAAAGCTCTGTAGCCCGAAATGTGCACATGTATACACCAAATGGCATTCATTGTAGGGTGCTCCCAGGCCCCCTGGTGGCCTGCAGACCTGGGATCATAGCCTCTGAATGGTGGGGATCAGGCAGTGGGCCGGCACCGCCGGTCCGCAGTGACAGGACAGAGAATTAGATGCCACTGCACAGGTGGATGCTGGGGCCCAGCTCAGGACACCACCCCCGCGCCCCCACGGCAGGTCAAGTCAGTCAAGTCAGTGGCTCAGGGCATCACCGAGAGAGGCCACCCGGAGAGCAGTTGGAAAGAGAAAAGGGAAGGAGACAGTGACCCTTTGAAGGGTGTCAGATCCACACCCTGCCTGCTGTGTGTTTGGCGGGGGCTCAAGCATCTTCTTAACCTTGTCTTTGACAAATCTTCTAAGCTTTGAACTCAATCTGGGTGTTTTTTTTTCCTCTATAGAAATGGAGCTCTGATTTTATGCTATAAGGTGTAGACTTTATTTAACAGAAGTCGGCTTGAGACAGATTCCAAAAAGCTCATTGTGTCTATGAAGGAAAACCCTCTCTCATTTGGACTTGCTGGGGGTTGGTCCTCAAAATTAAAAGTCTAAATTGCAAAATTTTATTTGAAAAGTGATTTTATTGATTTTGGTGGGGGGGTGGTGCAGATTGTACATATAACAGTTTAATACAGTGTTCCAAATGAGGCCCTTACATTATAGGTCATAGGTGCTAATGAAGAGGATGGATTGCATTTGAAAACCTTCTAATGTCTTTACAGTTTGTTTCAGATGATTTCTTAGCTTCTTCATTTGCTTAGCAAACCTTTCCTTCTCTGAATATCATAAGGAGGCCTGTGTGATAACACATATTGTGAATTAGCGTAGTCCAAATTGACGACGTTTGACTAAGAGATGCACATTGAATCTTCTATCAGGACTGGGCAGGTGGAGAAGGGCATAAAGAAGGTTAATTAGAGCTTGTGGGGTCAGAGCTAAGAGAGATGGCAGCAGTTGGGACCAGGGCTTTGGAACGTTCTTTCTCAGCAAGTGGGCCTTTGGGGCCCAGCCAAGTCCAGTGTCAAAGTGGAGGATGGGAAAATAAGGAGCTGTGTCTGCCCGGTTGAAGTCCATTGTCACAGGACCATGTGATCAGGACCTTTGCCACTGAGGTTATGTGATAAAGCACACTGTTACGGAGCATTCAAAAAGTGTTTCATAATAAAATGTGTCCTATTTTTGAACTTTCTCAGGCACTGCAACAACTGAGGACCTCAGAGTTCAAGCCCTATGTTATATTTGTAAAACCTGCGATTCAGGAAAAGAGGAAGACGCCACCCATGTCCCCAGCTTGTGAGGACACAGCAGCCCCACGTGTAAGTTTAGAGTTGATCATTTCTGAGGGCCTAAAGGGGCTGTTACAGCTGTGTAAGGGGCTTGTACCTTCTGCATGGAGCTGTCTTTCCATTTGCCTGTTGGCCAGACTTAGATGGTCAGTCAGGTCACCGGAAAGCCCAAGGTGCGGCAGCTGAAAGTTCCTCCCGCTTCACACAGGGATGGCTCTGCCTGGGCTCCCCACCCTTCACTCCTCCACAGAAGGATCCTCCCAGAAAATAAGGGACATCTGTCAAAGACTTGATCACACTAACCTGTTCAATTCCCAGGCCAAACCCAAGTCGTTTTTAATTGAAACACCAACTTCGGATCCAGCAAGTGGATCCAACATGGGGCAAGGGACAGCATGGCGGGAGTCTTTCCTATGGGTTGTTCAGGACTGTGACTCTCTCCCTGAAGCACAGGGGGTTGAATTCCACCTTTACAGGCCAGGAAAAGGGTTCTGGAGATCTCCCCCCCGCCTTTTTTTTTTAAGTAGGCTCCAACAGGGGGCTTGAACTCAATGACCCTGAGATCAAGACCTGAGCTGAGATCAAAAGTTGGATGCTTAACCCACTGAGCCACCCAGGTGCCCCTGGTTCAGGGGATTTCTGGCTGCAAAACAAATGTCATACTTTTTACTCCATGAGAGATTTACTTGAGTTCCTTCAAGACGCAAATATTAGAAAGATTGAGGTACTTAGTGGCGAAAATGTTCCTTCTATAGTTCCTTAAATAGCTATATGCTTCCAAGCTGAACAATGAGGGTGCCTGGAGGAGGGGAAACTCCAGAAGCAGGGGACAGGGGAGGTAGGATTGAAGATCCAGGGACAGCATCAGATACTGCAGAGTGCTTTTGAGTATGAGAGGAGCCCTGCGAGAGAGAGTATGGATTTAGCAAGCTTCTCCTGATGTCATCTACCTTTTCTCCTCCTGGGAGAAAGTAAGGAGAAGTGACCTCAGCCTTCTGTTCAGTCTTTGTGGCAGCATGCCCAACTCTTTCCGAGCCCCTTACAACCTATCTTCAGACCCTGCAGGTGCTCTCACTAAAGTCGGGATCTGGGGCTGATGGGGAACAGAGAGAAGAGAAGAAGGAGGAGGAAGAGAGAATATTTTGGAATGTGGGTCTCTTTGGGGGAGGGCGGCTCACCCCACGCTCTAAAAGCACTGAGTCTCTGTAAGCACAAGAGAGAAGGCGGCAGAGGCCTCGCTAGAGATAGAAAGGGAGTGGGTGAATGCCAGAGATGAATTTCATTTTGCGATGTTACTTAGAGGTGACCTGCCACGTGCCTTTTTCCCCCAAATCAAGCTAACCATCAGTCAACTACTGGCTTGAGGTTCTGCTTCTTCAAGGTGTTTTTGAATGAAGAAACAAACCCTACGCAGGCCGGGCGAAGGAGGGATGCGGGCAACCTGTCCCTCAGGGTTAGGGGGCAGGAAAACAGTCTGATGAAGGAAGTTGGGGACCCCAGGGAAATGGGGTGTTTGGTCAGGATTGTCCCAGCACTTTTGGAAAGAACTCTACTCTAGCTACGGTGCTCATGTTGGGCTCTGGTATGAGGAAATGGCAAGAAGAATTGAGTTCTACGTGATGAATTTAGGAGTCTGAATTCAGAGAGCCTTAGAGTTATTTATTCTCCTTCTTTGCCCCATCATTGAATCCAGAAATGCTTGCTTTGCTTATAGTTAATAGTATTTGCCATTCTTTGCTGTAATTACTTAACCAAATTGACACACAACACAATGGTACCCCTTCTTTGGAAATACCTTCCACTCGGAAGTGTGTATTATGGGTACACACAGATATAGAATCGGCATCCGCCCAAAGCCCGTGTCATGGCTGAGGTTAACAGGTCCTAATATCTAACAGTAGATATTTTGAGAAGACGAACAAGGATTGTGTCTACTTCTGGGCAACATTTTCGGACATGTGATCGGGTGTTATCACCACATTCTGTTCTTGTGTACACCATGGGTTTTTCATGGGCCCAAGTCAGCCACTCAAAATTAGACGTTAGAACACTGCCCGAGAAAAAGGCTGGAGGTTTCTTATTTTGAGGGAGAACAACCCAGTGGCTCCCCAGCTGCCCCTTTCCCTGCAGGACGAGGAGCAGCAGGAGATGGCTGCCTCTGCCGCCTTCATAGACCAGCACTACGGGCATCTGGTGGACAGCGTGCTGGTGAAGGAGGACCTCCAGAGTGCCCACAGCCAGCTCAGAGTGCTCTTGGAGAAGCTGAGCAAGGACACTCACTGGGTGCCTATTAGTTGGGTCAGGTAACTGTATCCTAGAACATCCGGGTTGGAGGGGACCTAGAAGACCACCTCGTCCAGCCTCCCCCATGCTACCGTCAAGGAATCTCAACTGTGGAGAGGAGCGGAATTTTCCATAAACTCCATTGTCAAGAAGAATATATGTGTGAAGTCTCGTCCGTTATTGGGTTTTTGTCTGTTGTTTTTCACTGCACCCCTTTGGAGCAGAGAACATGAATTGAAAGGGGGCGTATCACAAAATAGCATATTTCATTCACTCAAGTATCACAGGCAAGGCGACCCTGATTTGCACTGAAGTTAAGTAGCCACTGTCTTTTGGGGGTGGGGGTGGGAAATTTACACAGTTCCAATTTGCAGAGATTATAAATGGAGCAATGCTTCATTTATTCAGCTTTCTTGGAAATGGAGTTGTCCTTACCCACTGAGATTTTCCATGCAACTGAAGCTCCCCTGTCCTCAAGCACTAAAATGTTGGTTTTAACCTTTGCGATTGTGTTTGCTTGGCTGTAGAAAACTTGGTTCTCTGCCTTCTTAAATAGCGAGCACACACAAACTTTTTTTTGAAGACTAAGGCACACTTCGCCATCATCGTGAATTTCTGCGCTATTGTATGATACGGTGGTGTTTTCAGGGACTCTGGAGGAATGTAAGGCTGCTTGTCCCCTTTCTAAATCCCCTCAGACTCCTAACCTTGAGCCCTGGCTTTGCTTTGTTCCATTCCATCACTTGTCCCTCTTGCTCCTCTCACCATAGCTTGGAAATTACAGTAAAATGCAGTGTGGCTTTAACTTCTGAGACTGCAGAGAGGCTACTTACACATGCCAAGCTCTTTCCCTCACGAGAAGAAAAGGGGGTCAGGTTCAGGGCAAAGTACCAGGGGGAAGATTTGCTGCCCGTTTAGAAAATTTTCATTTTGCCTTCTCAAACAAGGCCACCTTTGCAACTTTCTAGCTCACTAACCTGATAGGTCCATCTGCCAGGATCACATTTTTCAGGTCTTTCTAGCAAAAGGATAAGGACTTCTTTGCACTGACCAAGCACAAATTCTAAACAAGTGAAATGAGTCTTGAGTTCTCCCACATAGCCGCAGGGCAGGGAAGACAACTGCCCCGTGGAAGCGTGAAGGACACGTACAAGGTTGTGTGGGTTATATGGGAGAGCCAGGATCTCAGGTCAGGTCTGAGGCCGAAAACAAGTCAAAACGACTCTTGTTTTTTTATTTTTTATTTATTTATTTGAGAGAGAGAATGAGAGACAGAGAGCACGAGAGGGAAGAGGGTCAGAGGGAGACACAGACTCCCCGCCGAGTGGGGAGCCCGATGCGGGACTCAATCCTGGGACTCCAGGATCACGACCTGAGCCGAAGGCAGATGCTTAACCAGCTGAGCCGCCCAGGCGCCCGGTCAAAATGACTCTTGAGAGACACTAACCAACTCTTAGCAAAGTCCCATCTGGGTGGTTTTTCCTCCAGTGTACGAACAGAGGGGTTGAACGCCAGATGGCGCTTTTTTTTTTTTTCCCGTTTATCATTTTACTCAACAGGCATTTTTGGCTTTGTAATGTTTTTATGCAATTGTCAGATAAAATGGTAATAATTCTCCTCATGTATATTATGAAGCAGGTCCTGAAAATGGGATGTCTGCCTCACTTCCCGTCCAAGTAACTTTGCTGCCCCTGAGATAAGCTGTTTGCTGCTCGTCTACAAGAGTAGAGTGGGTAGGGCCCTGGAGACAGAGGTCATTTGTAAAGTGTTTATACTGTTTGTAAAAAGCAGAAAAGCCTTGCTTTAAAAACAACAACAACAACCACGCAATTGTTTACACATAGATATCGGTGACACGTGTGTAAATGCCACGCCAAGTCCCATCCCAGCTAGAATTATATACGTTCTGAGCCCCTGGGCAAAATCTTGACAAAAGTCCATCACTCTGGGCCCCCATACTGAGAAATCTCTTTATTACATACCCCTCAAATACAGCTTTTTTCCCCCCATGGGCCTTCAAACTCAGGTAAGCTCTGTGTCTGCAAAAAGCATGTGAGCTCTAGAGGATGTTTCTAGAGCTGGGATGTTCAATGGGTGGGGCATATCCACTGCCACCGACCATTCAGGACTCATTGAACATGACACTCCTACTGAATCTAGGCATGGCTTTTGGATCTCTCAGGACAAAGTATCCAGTATCAATTGAGCAGAATGAGCAAGTGAATTAATTCTGTTTGCCATCCTTGATCCAGCAATTTGTAAGCTCCTTTGCCATCCATTCCACTCTCTGCAAGAGGGGGGTTTAAGAAAGTTACAACCATCCATCCTTCAGGCAGTGCTCAGTGATGATAAACATCAGCTAATTATGCATTTACCCTTCTAGGTTTTTTTTTTTAAAGATTTTATTTATTTGAGAGAGAGAGAATGAGAGAGAGCACGAGAGGGAAGAGGGTTAGGGGGAGAAGCAGACTCCCTGCTGAGCAGGGAGCCTGATGTGGGACTCGATCCCAGGACTCCAGGATCATGACCTGAGCCAAAGGCAGTCGCTTAACCAACTGAGCCACCCAGGCGCCCTACCCTTGTATGTTTGAATACATACATAAAGATGTGTAGCCTTTCGCAATTTTACACCCACTTACCCGGGGTCACATCACTGATACCACGAGTCACAGGAATTATGGATCCTGAAGCGATAGCCCTCAGTGATTTATTTAAAGACAACACACCAGCACAAGCTCAAAGCCCAATCTTGAGGCATCCAGGTCAGAATCAATGAGCAGCATTTATCTGGGGGAGCTGATGTGGGGCAATTTCTTACTCTATTTTTTTTGTCCTGCCCTCTGAATATAGTCTCAAATTATTGCTTCCTTTAAAAGGCAGGCTTGTGGTTTCAGAACAAGATGGTGTAGAATCACAGTTTCCTCCTCTAAGTACAGCTAAAAACCTTGGAAGTTTAAAAACAATGATAAAAGGACTCTGAAAGCTAGAAAGACGATGGTGGGGGGTATAGGGGCTGGGCCTGGGTGGCTCAGTGGGTTAAGTGTCTGCCTTTGGCTCAGGTCATGGTCTTGCCGTCATGGGATCGAGCCCTGCATCGGGCTCTGCACTCAGCAGGGAGCTTGCTTCTCCCTCTCCCTCTGCTCCTCCCCCTGCCCCCACTTGTGCGCTCTCTGTCTCAAATAATTAAATTTTTTTTTTAAAAGAAAGAAAATGGTGGGCTGGCTAAGGACCTCAGGACTTGAGGAACAACAATGTGGTGAGTTTCCTGGGTTTTCTTTTCGTCTCCCATATACCCTGGACTAGCTCTGAAGGGGCCTGCAACCCAGAACCACCAACAGGCATAGATGAAGAAGGGGGAAAAAAAAGGAAAGGAAAGTTTGCTTTCTCTGCCAAAGGACAGGGAGCCCAGTAGAGACCTATGGGGAGCCCCCACCCCAGTTTCACACCAGGGAGCCAGCAAGTGGCCCAATTCGTTCCCAGCAGCCGCAAAGCCCTTTGCCTCCAGGCCCTCCAAACAGTGGCAGCCCCATCTGCCTGCCCTTCTGCAGAAGGCGGCCCAGCAACACCATGCAATCCAGGGAGGCATCTTCTGACACCACAGAAGACACCAGCAGGGATGGATCGGGAACCCTAGCAGCACCCAAAGAACAACGCAGACCAGAACAGTATCTCGAGGGCTCAGAAAACTGCATCGCGATCTCCTTCTCCTGGCAGCCATCTCTTACTCAGCATCATGGCCGCCCTCAGACCTCTGGTGAAGCCCGAGATGGCCAACAAGAGGACCAAGAAGTTCATCGACACCCATCAGACCAGCATGTCAAAATTAAGAGCAACTGGTGGAAACCCAGAGGCATTGACAGTAGGGTGCACAGAAGATTCAAGGACTAGATCTTGATGCCCAGCATTGGTTACAGGAGCAACAAGGAAAGAAAGCACATGCTGCCCAGTGGCTTCTGGAAGTTCCTAGTTCACAAGGTCAAGGAGATTGAAGTGCTGCTGATGTGCAGCAAATCTCACTATGCGGAGACTGCTCACAATGTCTCCTCCAAGAACTGCAAAGCCATTGTGGAAAGAACAGCCCAGTTGGCCATCAGAGTTGTCAATCCCAATGCCAGGCTGCACAGTGAAGAAAATGAATAGACAGCTTATATGCATGTCATTCATGTTAATAAAACCATAAAACTAAAAGGAAAAAAAGAGAGAAATGAACTTCCATTGGAACTAAAACCCGTAAAAGAACCAAGAACAATACACTACACCTAAACAGGACTCCTACCTGCTAAAATAGAAGATGTGAATAAAATTAAAAGATCGCTAACGTAATAACCCAAATGTCCAGGATACAAGAGAAAATCACTCATCATAACCCAAACCAGGAAAACAACAATGTAAAGAAAAGACAATCAACTGTACCAATACTGATATGATTCGGATGTTAGAATTTATCTCACAAGGATTTTAAAGCAGTTGTAATAAAAATGCTTCAACAGCCAATTGCAAATTCTCTTGAATTGGAAAATCTTAGCAAAGAAATGGAAGTTATGAGAAAGAACCAAATGGAAATTATAGAAATTAAGAATTGTTGTAAAAGTTAAAATTTGGATGAACTCAGTAGTAGAGTGAAAATGACAGAAGATCAAATCAGGGTACTTAAGGGCAAATCAATAGAATTTACTCAATCTGAACAACAGACTGGAAGAAAAAAAAAAAGAAAAGAATCAGGGACCCATGAGACAATAACAAAAGATCAACGTTTGTATCATGGGAATCCTAGAAGGAGAGGAGAAATGTGGAACTGAAAAGTATTCAAAGAATAATGGCTGAAAACTCCCCCAAATTTGGTGAAAGATAGAAACCTACAGATTCAAGAAGCTGATAAACTCCAAGTAGGTTAAGACCAAAGAGATCCATAAGACACATCATAATTAGTCTTCTGAAAACCAAAGACTAAGAAAAAATCTGAAAAACAGGGAGAAACAACCAGGGAGGAACACCAATTCAAGTTCTATTTTAGTATTGCCTATTAAGGAAACTATGGAGGCAGACAGAAGTCACACAACATTTATAGAGTGCTGAAAGCAAAGAACCATCAATCTTGAATTCTATATGTGATGAAATTACCCTTAAGGAACAAAAAGGAAATGAAGACATTCTCGGATGAAGGGAAACTTAACAGTAGCACATGCAGACACTGAGCAGTAAGAGTGCTGGTTTGAAAATATGTAGCCATGGGCTGGCGGTGCTGGTTAAGCTCAGCTGGTTAAATGGCTCAGCTGGTTAAGTGTCTGACCTGGGCTCAGGTCATGATCTCGAGGTCCCAGGATCGAGTCTCACATCGGGCTCCCTGCTCAGTGGGGAGTTTGCTTCTCCCTCTGCCCCTCTCCTTGCTTGTGCTCTCTCTCAAATAAATAAAATCTTTTAAAAATATTGAAAAAAATCATTTACTCAGGGAGAAGGAGAAAGAGAGGTAGTAAAGGATGACCCTGAGGTTTCTAACCTGTATGTCTAGAGGAAGAATCTAGATTGAGGTGATTCCTCAAACTGAGATAAACTGGAACCAGTTAATAATGAATTTATAATTGGACATTTGATTTATTCTTTAAACTTTTTATTTTGAGAAAATTGCAGATTTACATGGGTGTAAGAAATAACATAGAGATCCTGTGTGCCCTTTACCCCATTTCCCCAGGGGTAGCACATGGTAAAATTATGGCACAATGTCACCAGGATATTGATATTGATATCAAAACACAGAACAGTTTCATCATTGATAAACTGGATGACATCAAAATTAAAATACTTTGCTCTATGAAAGACTCTGTTAAGAGGAAGAAAAGACAAATTACAGACTGGGAGAAAATATTTTGCAGATCACATATCCAAAAAAGGATTTGGTCTAGAATATATAAAGAACTCTCAAAATTCAATATTAAAAAAATGAACAGTCCAGTTAGGAAATGAGCAAAAGATATTCACAGACATTTCACAGAAGAGGATATCCAGATGACAAGTAAGCCTATGAAAGTTGTTCAACTTCATTAATCTCTAGAGAAATGCAAATGAAGACCATATGAGATGTCACTATGCACATATTGGAATGGCTAAAATGAAAAATATCAAATGCTGGTGAGGATGTGGAGAAACTGGATCACTCATCCATTGCAGAAATGTGAATGGCATAGCCGCTCTGGAAACAGATTTGGGGTTCCTTTTAAAATGGGCTTACCATACAACCCAGCAATTGTACTCTCAAGTGTTTATCCCAGAGAAATTAAACTTATTTTCATGCAGAAACTTGTAACATATATTCCTAGCTGCTTTATTCATAATAGTGAAAAAAGCTAGAAACTACCCAAATATCCTTCGACAGTTAAATGTTTAAACAAACTGGTACATGTATACCTTGGAATACTACTCAGCAGTGAAAAGGAATGATCTTTTGATGTACACAACTTGGATGAACTGCAAAGAAATGATATGGAATTTAAAAAAGCCAGTCTCAAAAGAATGGATACATACCGCATGATCCCATTTATGTAAGACTCATGAAATAACATAATTACAGAGATGGAAAACAAAATAGTGACTGCCAGGGGTGGGGGGTGGTTAGGAATGGGAGGAAGAGGGGGGCTGTCACTAAAAGGGGTGGTACCATGGAGTATTTTGATGATGGTACAGTCAACTATGTATCTTGAATGTGACTGTAGTTACCCAAAGCTACACATCTGATAACATTACATAGAGCTACACACACACACACACACACACACACACACACACACACACACACACGAGTGCATGTATAACTGGTGAAATTTGTATGCACTCTATGGATTGTACCAACGTCAGCCTCCCGGATTGATATCGTATTACAGTTACACAAGATGCTAACTTTGGGGGAAGCTCGGTGAAGGGTGGAGGAGCCCCCCTGCCCCCGCGTACATTTATTTGCAACTTCCTGTGAATCTAATTATTTTAAAATAAAAAGTTTATTTATTTGTGATGAGAACACTTAAGCTTTACTCTCTTTCAGTATAAAAAGCTTAAAAAGGCTCAAACCCAGCACGATCAGTCATGGCAGTCATGCAGCGTTGTCTTGCCATATGTTTTGAGATATGTTTGACACTTTCACTGTTGCTGTTCCCTATAAATGAACAGAGTACGTGGAAACTTCAATGAAGCATTCTTTTCCAATGCTGTGTATTCACAGAGAGACTAATGGCGTTTGTTTTCTGTGTTGTCTGAACCTTAATCTTACCACGTGCTTCTGTTTTCCATTTTCACAGAGCTGTACTTGGGGCTGGGTCATCTTAACCCCACCTTCCTCCCCTCTAGGATGGTGACAACGGTGTTATGTTGTTTTTTTTTTTAAGATTTTATTTATTTATTTGAGAGAGAGAGAATGAGAGATAGAGAGCATGAGAGGGAAGAGGTTCAGAGGGAGAAGCAGACTCCCTGCTCAGCAGGGAGCCCGATGTGGGACTCGATCCCGGGACTCCAGGATCATGACCTGAGCCGAAGGTAGTCACCCAACCAACTGAGCTACCCCAGGTGCCCGACGGTGTTATGTTTTAAAAAGGCATTCTTCTCTCTTACTTTCTCAGAGAAACTTCTTTTCATAGTCCCAAATAAAAATGCTTATTGCATTCTCCCTTCCGCATGCTCCACTCTGTCCCCATTTTGGGATGGGACTTAAAGCCTTTGGATAGTTTCAATGTAACTTACTCATTTTATGTTCCAAGCTTTATTGTAGCATCCTAAGATTAAGCATTCAGCCACTTAGGAGTGTCTTGAAATTCCAAGCAGCTAAGAAATCTTAGGGCTTTCTCTTGTATCTTTTCCATGGTGAGTAACCTTGTATTCAGGGAGAGGAGAGGGAGAGAAATGGAGAAACATCAATTATACAGAACTATTCTTTGGAAAGCCTGAGTGTCCATTTATCCTTCTCCCCAGGGGCAAAACACATACACACACACACACACACACACACACACACACACACACACACAACTTAGTCATTCCTAATAATGTGAAATAATACAAAATGCCAACACAACCGTACTTGAATAGTGACAGAGTAAAGTAACTTTGGCGCAATAAGAAAGCCATGAGACCTCCTGTTTACATCCTACTGCAACAAATCACTTCCCCTTAGACTCACGTAAAGACTCAAAGCTGATGACAAAGCCCAGCCATTTCCTCCTCGTTTGGAGAGAGGAAACAGAGAGCTCTAAGTTCCTTCTGTACTAGAAGGGCAAAAATCCATCCCTTTAACTGGGTCCCTTGTGCTCCATCTGTATAGTTCTTAGGGCTTTGCTATCAGCCATGATCACTGTATTTCCCAGTAAGAAGCAGCCGTGTTAAGACATACCTATTCATCTTGGGAGAGAAGATATCTTGTTGTATTTTTGATATAGCGCCTTGAATTCTTGAAGGGAAAAATCAGAAAGATTTATGTCAATGCCATGGGGCTGGTTCTAAAGTTGAAGGTCTAGCTCCTGAGGCTGACTTAGAAAAGGCTTACAGACCCAAGCCAGGGAGTGGGTTTTTTTTTTAAAAAGACCGCAGAAGGCTTTTTTTTCCTTCTTGAAGGGTTGTTCCTAAATGAAGGAAATCGTGTACCCTTCCTCCTTTTTGCTTGTACATTCAGTCTTTTTTTTAATGAATTAAAGCTTGAGGGAAGATGCTACCAGATAGTTTCTGAAACTGACGCATGGTGGCTTTGCTACCCAAGGAGCAAATGGATTAGCTCCTGGATGGTTCGCTCCCGTGGTTAGCTTTGTTTGCTCTGGGTGGTTTTTCTTTTACCAGTTGCTGCATTTTGCATGATCTCTCCCTCAGCCGCTTAGGGGGTCTCTTCTGAGACCGACTCTACTCTGAACACAGACGAACTGTGTGGGTGCAAGGGAGGAGCACAGAGTAGCCACGTGCCTGCCAGTCCATCTCGGACAACCTGCGGTCATAGTGGGGTTTGCGATCACCAAGCCTCTTCAGAATGCCCTGGTTTTCCACAGTGATTCTCACTAGTTCCCGGTTCCTTGTTTCTCTGTTTAAGCTGAAAAACACAAAATCCTGAGATGGCCGGAGAATAAAATTCCTTTCCTGGATGAAGTCGTGATGTCGTAAACCCAGGCTGCCTAAGTGCAGGGAACAGACTTTCCTGCTGAGCCCTGAGACCCCCCTACCCCTGTTGAACTAGACTACGCTCTGGGGTCCGGGCACAACGTTGGCAGGTTTCTATCAGTGGTTCTCAACCCTGATGTCCACTAGAAGATTCTACTTTATTGGTCTGGGTGCAGCTTGGGCATTGGCATTTTATAAAAGCACCCCAGGAATAATTATGTGAAACCAGGACTGAGAATGTCTGGTTTATATGACGGGGGAAGGTCTTGCCTATGGACACATCACAAAAGGCTGGTGACGAGTTTTGCTTCACTTCATCTCACCGTTCAATGGTTTCAGATACACAGGATATAGGAAAGGCACCTTGACACGCCCTCCCCTCTCACACGACCAAATTCTTTCCCTTGCATACACTTCTTTTGTAGCCCTGTCTACACTGCATTATTATTTACAGAAAAGTCTCCCCTAACAGGTCTTGAGTTTTTTGAGGCTGGGAAACATATATATCTCATTTCATCTTTGTATTCATAGCACTTAGCACATAATAGTTCCTCAGGAAATATTTGAGGAACCGATTCTTAAGAATGCTGTGTCATAGTCCCAGCTACGGTCACCATTTTATAAAAGTGTGCAGTGTTTTCTTGTGACAAACTCTGAATAGAATTCCAAAAATTCTCTTAGCTGCAATAAAAGTTAGCTCTTTACCAACTAGAGAAAGGTCCCCGTTTTGGATAGTTTTCATTCTCCTTAACCTGGTCTCTGGCTACCATCAAGATACCTTCTCTCGAGTACACCTCCTGCTCAGGAGAACCTCGCACTAAAAGCCAACAAGGGGAAAGTCAATTTTGACTTCCCAAACATGAAGAGAGGAGAGAGAACACTACCTCTTGGAAAAATATTCATTCCAGCAATCCACCTTGGCAGGGCCACGATGGGCCTTTGCGATTTTCTGACACAGTTGCTTGTTTTCGTATTCGATTTTGTCGATTCGCTTTTGTTCACCCTGGTAAGAAACCGCATCCCCACCATGGTCACATCGTTCAACACCCAAAGGCTCCGCATCACCCTCCTCTGGAATGGTGGGAAAGGGGCAAATTGAGGGCCGCAGTGGAGCCTGGGAGGAGAGCATAGGGATGGGTGGTGTGCAAAGGGGAGGGAATCTTAACAAATCTCTGGGTGAGGAGGGTATTTATAAGTCTGGGAAACTGGGCCTCTTCAGGACATTGATAAAAATCGATAATAAAGTACATCCACAGAGGGCAAGAACGAATACCTGTAGTTTGCTCAGTTTTAAAATGTGATGTGTGTGCGCCACTGGAGGTTTGGTATCAACAGTAGGCTTCACTAGAGGATAAAAGAGAGCCATGTTACTACACAGGGGTCCTCTTAGCTACCTCGGAAAACCTGCTCACGTTCCAGACAACTGCCCCGACTAATAAACATGACAATTTTGAGTTCTGACCTTACTCTGGTTCAGGAATTTTAGGTTAGTTTAATTTCCCACACTGTTATCTTTGAAGAGTTTTCAGCACAAATACCAGAATGTGAGGACGAGAAAAACTACAACAGAGATGAATGTCCTTTGCATCTAATGAAAGATTCTCTCCCATCCTTTCCCAGTACAACTAGCCTGTTGGGAGCTGGAGTCCTACTGTCTCTCTAGCTTACTCTGGCTTTAAAGAGTTTTAAGTGAGCATTTCCATCCATTGGTAAATTTTGTCACTGACGCCAACGTCCTCTTGACCCAACCCAGCAGAGAAGGCCATATCATCACAAAGCCATGTACTGGTCTGGTTTACTGTCACTATCTCTAAGGTGTGGACCCTTCCAGAACTCCTAATCACAGTGTCCCACCCCAACTGCCCACATACCTATTTGTATTCTATTCTTGTGAAATATGTAGTGGCCAAAGTCCAGCTTCTTTCTGAAGGTTGTGCTCTGTCTGTGATTAGAAACAATTACAGGGTAGGCTAGATAATCCAGGGAATTGTTCATCTTCTCTTCCTAGTCTCACTTCAGAAATGAGGCACCCAGGCTCCTCTGTGAGGTACTTAGCGGTCCCCATTACAGGTTGTCATAGTTACCCCCTTATGACATCAGGGACAGGTCTTGGGGAAGGAAGAGGAGCGGCAGAGCATGCTTGGCTGTCCCTGGGCTTCTGTTTGGAAGCTAACACAGGTCCAAATCAAGATGAGGGTCAAGACTCAGAATCTCTCCCACCCGCCCGGCCTGCGGATGCCACCAACACCAGGGGGAAAAGGTGTGGTGTGCTGGGAGGGGTGGGAAGGCACCGGGTGGGAGGTGGGGGGTGGGGATGGAGAAGTCCAGCCTTGGTCACACACCTTCAGCTATAAGCTAAGGAGTCTCCACCACAGTAGATCTTCTGGAGGTGTGAGACCACAAGCTTTTGGGGGGAGGTGAAAGATGACCTTAATGAGAGTCTCATCCAGTTTTTTCATTTTGCAGATGAAGAACCTGAAGTCCAAAGCAATAGCCTGCTCTGCTGCTCAGGAACCAAGTTAGTGGCAGGGCAGGGCTCAGGATGGGGGGTATCCTAAATTCCTGGGATATTCGCTTTTTGGAGGAGTGGGGGTGGGGTGGGAATCTGCCATCGTCAGGAGGACAGAGATTGTTTTCTGCTTTTAGTGGGATTTCAGCAAATGAGGGGGGCTGCCAACACTGACGAGGCTCATGGTGGGCTAGCGGCTGCTCCTGGAAGGGCTGCAAAGGAGCCTGATTCATCTCCATGCTAGCACATGTGTAGTGGCACCTAGTGGGTGATGTAGAGGGAGAACACCTACTGAGTGCTCACCGGGCGCTTTCCTTGAGTGTCACATTCAATCTTTCAAAGAACCCTAGGAGTTAGGTACTAGTATCCCATTTTTTACCCCCAGCAAGCAGGCTCAGAGACGTTGATTCGCCAGGGTCAGAATGCCAAGCCTGGTTGCATAGAGTCCAAGCTTTGAAGCCCGGTGCTGACTCCCAGTAAAGGTTGGAAGAAATGTGCCTCAGAGTTGGGCTTCCCAAACTTTAACCTTTCTAAGGATCGCCAGGGGGGCCTGTAAAATGCACATTCTCATTCAGCGGGGCTGGGCTGGGGCGGAGATTTCGCAATTCTGACCAGCTCCCGGGTGGTGTCAATGCCGCTGGTCCGCAGCAGGCAGATCAGCGCACAAGCGGAATCGGGTGTCCCGGTAATCCTGCAAAAACTAAGCGACACCTGTGTGTACCCCGTTCAGTGGGAACATTTATTGCGCTCTGCGTTTAATCCAATGAAGTTACTGCACTTCCCCATTTATAATGATGCAGGAAAGGCCTCAGCTGGGCGTGGGCCGAGGACCCCCGAAACTCCTGGGTGGCGCCATCTTCGCCGGGGTGGGGGGGCCGACAGGCCCGGGGTACCCCAGAGCGTCCCCGCGGCGCCGCCTGCCCGCGGGGAGCGCAGCGCGCCGCTCGTCCGCGCTCCGCCTTTTCCCGCGCCCGGCGGGCCCGCCTCCGGGGCGGGACGGGGCGGGTCCCGGCTCGGGAGCCCCCGCCCAGCTGACCCGGCGGCTCTCCCCTCGCAGGCTGCTGCCCCGCCGTGCAGGGCCCGGCAGCCGCCATGTCCGGCCCGTTCGAGCTCTCGGTGCAGGATCTCAACGACCTGCTGTCGGACGGCAGCGGCTGCTACAGCCTGCCGAGCCAGCCCTGCAACGAGGTCACCCCCAGGATCTACGTGGGCAACGCGTGAGTAGCAGCCGGGGCGCCCCGCCCACCCGAAAGCCGGGGTGGGGGCGTCGCGGGCGTGCGGGGGGGTGGTGGTGGGCGGTGCGGGGCGTGGTCGCCGTCCGGGAGCATCGCAGGGGCGGGGGAGGGGCTGGAGTCGCCGACCGCCCCCGCGCGGGGAGCGGAGGGGCTAGACCCCGCCCCGGCCCCGCGCGGTCCTCCTCCTCGCGGGGGGCCCGGATCCCGGGACGCTCGGCCAGCCCGGCGTCCGGCCCGAAGCCGCCGCCCTCTAGGGGCTCGGCTTTGGGCGGGGTCGGGCTACCGTGATCACTTAACAGGTGGCCCTCTGTCACCCGGCCGGTCTCCAGCCCGCGCGTCATGTGACAGCTGCCTGGTTCTGCAGTGAGGTCACCGCGGAATGTCTGCCTTCGCTGCCATGGCAACTGGCTGACGTCACAAATCGGGCGTGGAACTTTCCTGGCTGGGCAGACTAGATCAAGGAATCGAAATACTCCCAATGAGGGATCCGGAGAGCTGGGCTGGGGTTCCCTCGCTCCTTCGCCTGCCTTCCGGATAGGGTTTGATTTACCGACGCCCTACGCTCTATGGGCCAGGGTCTGCGTGTTGGAAACCCAGAACTAACTTCCTTCTCTCCTTTTATCCGGGAGGAAATGGTGGCCCAGGGTGGTTGAGGGACTGTGAGGACAGAGTCAATGTCTCGTTCATGTCTGTATCCCCTGTCCTGCTGCTTATCCTGCTAAGGGCTGCCGCAAAAACGGGGGTCCTCGCGGGGCTAACAGGGGTCCATAAGGCAGGGCCCACTTTCATGGGGGACAGTCTCATCCACTCCATCCCTTCATTCACCGTATTGAGCACCTACTCTGTGTCAGGCACTTACAGTGCACATTCATAGTGATAGTAATGGCAATGGTAAATTTGTTGAATGTTGAATTTGTAATGCATAAGGGAGGTGAATGGGAGCTCACCTTCAGAGTTTTTTTAATCAACCACTGCTTTACAACCATGTGCAGCGTTGTGAGCAGGGACAGCTGCAACAGTCCCAGAGCCTCAGCCAAAGGGCTCAGGGAATTGCAAAGTTCTGAGGATAGCGCCCTGTCCAGACACCCAAGCAGCATGTAGCCGTGGCACCCTCAGGGACCCTGTGCTCTCGGACAGTTTGGCATATTCAGCTGCCCCTACTTCCTGGGTGGAAACCGAGGTTGTGAATGTCTGTCTGGTGGCAGCCAGAGTGGCCAGTGCTGAAGACCACTGTAGAAAAACACATCCCCTGCCTGATTAACGAATCTGGCTTTGACCTGACCAGGGGTGTGTTGGGGGGGGCACTCAGCAGGGAGCCAAGTGCTCCCTGCCCGTTGGGAGCCCCCTGAACCAAATCAGGGCTCACAGGCAAAGAGGAGCCTGTATGAGCCTCATTTTCTAGAACTCAGGATATGTAGTTGATGTGGACATGACAGGCAGAGTGAGGGGGGTGGGCAGAGCAGGGCTGGTGTCAGGCCTCCTCCCAGCTCGGCTGCCAGCAGCCCGTGTGACCCACAGCTCATCCTCCCGCCGTCCTGTGGGGCCAGAGCTCAAGCCCAGGCCTTGCTTCCTCACAGGCTGCTGTGACAGGCAGACGCCATCGAGTCGGAGAAAGCGTTTTGTGAAGTATAAACTGCTGTTTGAATTGGGATGTTGTTGGGAGATGAAATAAAGGAGCCCTTTGACTATTCAGATCAAATGTTTTATAACCCCCAGAGTTCTGTTGGCGCCACTCGGTCCCCAAGTGCTTGCTCACCCAGGAGGGCTTCAGAGACGTGGCTAGTGCTCTGTGGCAGAAAGGTCCCTCTGGGGGACTGGAGGGGCTGCCGTTCTTTATGATCCGAGGAAGGAGGCTGCCTCGGATGTGCTGATGTCCTTCTTTTTCACTGATTCACTACATAGTCATTCGGCACCTAATACGTGCCCGGTGCTGTAGCAGGTGCTGGGAAGGCAGACCGGGTTACTCCCTCCAGGAGCTCAGAACAAATAAGCACAATCAGGCATTAGAAGAACACGGACCACAGTGTCACGCTCTGTCTATGGGACCGCTCATTTAACACAGCCACCCCAAGGGGTATCAGCCCCATTTGACAGACAGGGAAACTGAGTCACCAAAAGGTTAAGTGGCTTGCTCAAGGTCATCTGGCTGGTAAGTCTGAGGGTTGGATTCAGACCCAGGCAGTCTGGCTCTAGAGCCCATTTTGAGCCACTGGGTTGTACCACCACCACAGGATAGGGGAGCACGATGCCAGATGGGATGGAGGGGCTATCGGGACATACTGCAGAGGGTGGTGAAAAATGAGAGGGTGTGTGTCCATGGAGAAGCTTGAGAAGGGCATTCCAGAGGGAGGGAACAAACATGGGCATGAAACGCCCCAGCTATTTGGGGAAGCTGCCGGTAATTAGATATGGCTGGAGGGAGGGAGGGAGGTCATAAGATGAGGGGAAGCCGGCAGGGGCCGAGCGTGGACAGTTCCTAGCTTTGCCGGGAGACTTAGAATCTTCTCCATCTTCCTCCCCCCGCGGCTGCCAGTTGGTGAGTTAATCATCCCCTGTTGCTGTCTCCTGTCCAGGTCTGTGGCGCAAGACATCCCCAAGCTGCAGAAACTAGGCATCACCCATGTGCTGAATGCTGCTGAGGGCAGGTCCTTCATGCACGTCAACACCAATGCCAACTTCTACAAGGACTCCGGTATCACCTACCTGGGCATCAAGGCCAATGACACGCAGGAGTTCAACCTCAGCGCCTACTTTGAAAGGGCTGCAGACTTCATTGACCAGGCCTTGGCTCAAAAGAATGGTAAGACACCTGCGGTCCAGGAAACAAGGCAAGGGCAGCTTTGACTGGACTTTTTTTCTAGAAAACAGGCCCACAGCCGGCTTCCTCTTGGAACCTGTCAAGAGGCCCCACGTTACACAAGATGTACAAACCTTTCTCACAGTGGCAGCCTCCGGGGTCCTGGTGTTTGAGTGGACTTTGGCTGGGAGTTCATTTCTAGCCACTCCCCGCCATGCCCCCAATTCAAATAGGTTCAGCAATAACGATTTATCTTCTGTGATAAGAAGTGCTGAAGTGTTGGAGCTCTGGGGCTGGTTGATTCAGCAGCTCAGTGGCGGCATCTTCCCCCTGCCACCTTCTGGGCTCTCCCCTAGTGGTCCCAAGATGGCGGTGGCAGACCCAGTCACCACACCCTGGCGGGACGAAGTATAGCAAAAGACCTGACAGCCGTCTCTTCCTCATGTTTCTTCCTTTTTTTAAAGAGCAAGTAGAAGGGCTCCTGGGTGGCTCAGTTGGTTAAGCGTCTGCCTTCAGCTCAGGTCTTGATCCCA